GAGTTAATGGCTACTGAGTTCCTGGTCCTTAGAGGGAAGGATCAAAGTAGTTCAAAGCAAGCAATTATGACAAATGGCCCGAAAAGAATTTTTTTTTTTTTTTTTTTTTTTACAGGCATACGCAAGTTTCAAAAGGTATTTGGCTTTTCTTTTTTTTTTTTTTTTGGTTTAACACACTGATAGTGGAGTGATAATGCTGTGTGCTGACCCCTGGTGGATTCAACAAGTGCCTATTTACTATAATTTTTGGAGTTGGAATAGATCTTATTTCAGGAGCTACAGACTTCAGAGGTCAAACATCTTATATAAATGTATCAGGTAACCCTGTGTATGAAAATAGATCATGGTGCCAAGTACAGTAAAACAGGAAAATTCAGGCTCCACAAAAGGCATATAAATTCAATTTTAAAAAATGTTGACAACACACACACACACACACACACACACCCACTCATGAAAGAAAACTGGAGTGAGAGATTGATTGGGCCAATCAGTTTGGCCCAAAGTTTCATATTTAAGTTAACACAGGTTAAACCTCTGTCTTGGGGGAAATCACATTAAAACTTGGTTTGTAAATTGATAACAAATGCTCTTCCCATGATCCACTCTTACTTCCTCCAAAATATAGCAAATACTCAACAATGCTATAATGGGCTATTTTTGTTAAATCAAGTTATACGTTTGTTGACAAGGCTCAATGGGGAAGAATATTCATCTTTAAGTGAATTTCATGTATCATTCTGTGTTTTAAGTAAAAACCATGTTGCATATATTAGTTGAGACACTGTACAGAGAAACTCATTATTTTAAAACATTAAATGTTATACCAATTTAAATTTCTCTATCTGCTTTTTTATGCAGTCAACTTGAAGCTTAAAATTTAAAATCAGAAACTAGACTCAAGTTGCTACATTTTTAACTAGAGAGTATGATTTGAGAGAATAAGAGTGAATCATGTAAGAGTGGCAAGAGTAGTGATGTTCTAGGACCAAACACTTTGTCCAAATACTTTGGAAAAATCCAAACTACAGTTCTATAAGGGATATTTTGATTAATTTTTATTCTAATTGTTTTTTTCTAATTGACTTAGACTTATTATCCAATTCTTTTCCAGGATCTGATGTGTCCCACTTCAAAATGTCAGTGGCTTCTTATTATTGACTATGTTAAATCACAAATTTTCAGCCCGCCAAGCCCCACCAGGATTCCCTCTGTTTTAACCTCCATATTTCTGATATTCACTGTGCCATTCAAGACAATTTGCCTGCTGCTCTCATGAAGGGCTTTATATTCTCAACCCAAGCCTTCCCCATGCTTCATAGAAGTGTGAAGAAATGGAGTGCAGCCTCCCCAGGGCAAATCCCCAATTCAGTCTTCAATGCTAGCCAAGATGGGGCTCTTGGTTCTGACCTTGCCTCACACGCTCCTCCCTTGGTATGTCATTGCTCACTATTGAGAGTCTCACTCACAGACACTCAAGCTCCTGACAGAACTTCATGGCAGAATAAGAAATTTCACAAATATTTTGTGTGTGTGTGTGTGTGTGTGTACAACTGTATAGTATACTTGTATACACACATGTAGAGATATAAATATATCCACATGCACATATATATACAAATACATGCATATATTTTGATACCTTAAAATAAATGCCCAAGATATATTACATGTAAAATAAAATATGCAAACATTATACAGTGATTCAAAAGTATCTTCATTTAAAAAAAATGACATGTAGATACAAACTCTAATATGTACAAATGCCAGACACCCAGGACATTGACATACAAACGTAGTGTTTTAAGAAGTTGGCTTCACATTTTTGTGAACAATAGAAAACCTTGTAGCTATTGTTAAAAGTGAAAATTCCCAGGCCCACTCTGCATTTTCTAATTTAGTGGTATGAGGAAAAGTCCTGAAAGCAGGGCTTTTTAGCAAGCATCACAGGTAATTCCAAGAAACTTCGAGAAACACTGCTGAAAGGGAATATTCTTTCCCCAAATAAACACCTTTCCTGTTTCTATATTTTTTAAATGATATGCTTACTCTGTAACCAAAATTATGAAAATACAAAATGTAAATTTCAAAATCTTCAGCTTTACCCATGTTTTGGATTTTTTTTGAATATAATGTTTGCCTTTTTTAAAATGCCACTTAAAATTCTCTTAAATAGGTTTTTATAGCCTTATCGTTAAAAGACCTAGCAGAGTTTTTCATCTATTTAAGTACCAGAAATATTTTAGTCGCATGCTAGAATCTCTTTAAATAAATATGCCAACAAGGAACACTTCTGAACTTATGAAAAATGCTTACCATTCATTTCCCTTAGTGTGTGTCTATATATATATACATATATATACATACACACACACACTATATATATATATATTTTTTTTTTTTTTTTTAAGATTTTATTTTATTTGAGAGAGAGAACAAGTGTACACCTAAGAGAACACGACTTGGGGAGGGGCAGAGGGAGAGGGACAAGCAGACCTCTCACTGCGCAGGAAACACTAGGCCAGATCCCAAGACTCTGGGATCGTGACTTGAACCAAAGGCAGACACCTAACCAACTGAGCCACCCAGGCACCTCCTAGGTGGATTTCCACTGGAATGAGAATAGGTAAAATAAAGGAATTACCTGATTCTCAAATTCTCACTGGATATACCCCATGATACTTTGGAAATTAGCATTATACAGACTTTAGGGAAGACTGGTCTTTTCCCTCAAACAATGGATGCCAGAATTTTGACACAAACTTTCTCTCCTTAGAGTACCTCCCAATCACAGAAGGCTCAGCAAGGCCAACCTTTTGTTGGAGGAATAGAGATGGGAAATCATGAATCACTTGAACTTCACTTACCGCCTGGAGCCTGTCAACTATGAATAAGACTATAAACATGGCATCCTCACGCTACAGCAATGTGAAGTTTGTTAGGTGTCATAGTGCTCACAAAACATACATTAGCTATTGAAGAATGTCATGTTGTAGGGCTGTAAGACACTTTAGAAATCATCTAATTCTCTAAAGCCTCAATGCCTTCATCTTATAGATCAGGTAAGTGAAGCCCAAATTCATAGGAACCTCTAGGTCTCCTTGAGGGTAGGATTGACTCTTATCATCACAAGCCTGGGCATAATCCTTGGGATGTCGAAAGTATTAAATACATTAAGTTAGGATCCATGATGAATCAATTAAATGTTAGATTTTCTAGCTCCCACATCCAATACCAGATCTAGAATGAGACAATTTGACACCAGAGTGACCTTTGGTTCTTCCAACCGGTAAGTGTGGACCCCTGGGGTATTTCAGTTGTTCCAGACAACTGCACAGAGTCTGTTTTCCTATTTTCTTTTTTATTTTTTTTTTTAAGATTTTATTTATTTATTTGACAGACAGAGATCACAAGTAGGCATAAAGACAGGCAGAGAGAGAGGGGGAAGCAGGCTCCCTGCTGAGCAGAGAGCCTGATGTGGGAATCGATCCCAGGACCCTGAGATTATGACCTAAGCCGAAGGCAGCGGCTTAACCCACTGAGCCACCCAGGCACCCCTGTTTTCCTATTTTCTTTAGCAACACTGAACAGGATCAATAACTTTTACTTTTTCCACTCTAAAAATGGACAAAAGGCATTGCTGTTTTAATTTTTTTTTTATTACTGATACTAACATTTCTCATATTTACTGGGAAATGGTCTTTTGTCTATGAATTTGGAATGTACTTTTTTATTGTGTCCTTTCAATGCTGCTGTTAAGAAATACTGTTCATTCTGATGTTTGGTCTCTATGTGAAACCTTATCATCTTCAGAGACATGTATGCTCTTTTCCTTCCCAGCATTCTGAAATTTCATTTCATGATTATGTATTTTGGGTAGGTTCTATTTTGAGCAATTGGTAAGGCCTTCCATCTGAAACCTTGTATATTCAGTGGTTGTGTCACTTATGAGTTATTCCTTTGATAGCCTTCCCTTGTCTTTGTTCCCTTCTACATTACATCCTGGGATTCCTCTGGTTTAGATCTCCCTCCTAGGCCAGCCTACACATTATCCTTCTCGCCTGTTTTCTCCCTACTTCTGGAAAATTTCTTCAACTGTATCTTCCAATCCTTCTTCCATTGGGTATTTCAACTTGGTGATGGTATTTTTAATTTCTAAGAAATCCTCTTTACTCTCTAAATGCTCTTTTTCTTAGAGCAACGTTCTTACTCTGTAGATACTGCATCTTCTCTTAGCCCTCTGAAGATACTGGTGGCTCTTTTCAAAGTACCTTTTCACTGTGCCTTCCAAGTAGCTTTTCCCTGTTTGTCTTGGTTTCTCATATTATATGCTTTGCTCTTCAGCTGTTAGAACATGAAACCAAAAAGCTGGTTGGAAACCGTGAGTGCTTGTGTGAGACTTGTCAACCATGGTCTTCACTTTGAGAGAGACTGGCTGGACCGTTTATTGAGGAAAACCCCTGACATCAATACCTTTGTGTCTTTTCTCTCGGTTGGTACATTTCCCTGTCTGGAGGAGTCCAGTCTATCCTGCCTTCAGGATGTCTGTCTGACTGCCAACGTTCTTGGAGCCCCTTTGGGGAAGAAAGCTGAAAGTCTCACACCCGTTGTGTCAATTTGCATTTACCTCCCCTGTTCTCAGCAAAACAGCCCCACATTCAACTTGTTCTGGTACCTTCTATTTTGTTCTCTGCAGGAAAACAAACAACTCTAGTCCAGTTTGGGGGGGTGGGAGAGAGACAGTAAAAAGGCTCTGTGGAGACTAGGGAGGGCATTATTGGAGCTTAATTTCTTAAACATACTAGAAACCAATCCTCTCTGGCTTTTAGCTTCACTTTTTCATCCACTTTTATAGGTTCCTGATATGTCCAGTTCCTGAGACGTTAAAAGGTCTGTAGTGTGAATCAGATTGCTTCTTGATTCTCTCTCTTCCAGATTAGGATTTCAAGGAGCTGCTTAGTCAGCTGCCATTTTCCATCTGCTTTGTGATCCTAACACAGGCCCTATAGTCTTGAGGAACTGCAAAAATCAAACAAAGAAAAACACGTTTACTCTCATTTTTGTAGCATTTCAGGAGGGAGCAAAGGTTAAATATGTGGTCAATCTGTATCTTTAACAGTGGTCTTCATTTATTCTCAGATGAACCTGAGAACCAGTTTGTTTTGCTAAAAACATATCTGTCATTAATTCACTCACTCCCACCAAAGGTCAAACTCTTCATTTTATCCATTACTTCTACTTCAGTTTATTTATCAATTTCTAGTTTTATGTTTATTATTTTCTTTTCCTTCTTTTTTGTTTTCTGGCTATTTTTATTATGTGCTTGAATTGAACGCTTTGTCTCTGATTAAATAATAGAAGCAGTGAATCCTGAATTATCTTCAGTGGCCAAATTCTTCAGCTGTTAATATCTAATATTCCCATTGCTGTTCCATTTTAAGGAGCTTGTAAATTCAATTTTTATTTTCTTGCTGATAGGACTTATTTAGAAGAGCAGTCTTAAGTTTCCAAATGGGATTAATTTTGTTATCTTTTCAATTATTAATGTTTAACCTTGTTTCACTGAACATGAGAGAAAGTAGAACTATAAAATTTTACTAAGATTATTTTTATATTATGCTGTTTAAAAAATTTTTTTTGCCTTTAAGCTTCCTAACTCCCTTATGAAAACTCTTCAGGTTTAACTGTCAAGATTATGTAGCATAATGGAGATAATGTTTTAAAAAATATTTACATGGTTTTCCCTTCTACCTTTCCACACATATAAGCCCAAGGTGTTCATCTGCCACCAAAGAGATGTTGGAAAATGAGAATTACTAAGATTCATTTGTGGAGAAGAAATGTAATGATGAACAAAGAGTTTTCAGTTTCTGACATTTAAATGGCATTTTGCAAGAAGACAATAGGCAAATATGCTTGAAAGTCTGTTGGAAACAAAGACATGTCTAAATTCCTTTGCTTCTACTTAATATATCAAATGCTAGGTTGTGACCACAAAGCAGTAATTCTCCTAAAGTTTACAGAAAATAGTTTTGCCCACCAGGAGGGATTAGCCAAGAAATGGGAACCAGCAAGGTGGCGGATGTTAAGCAGAGGAAGTAAAAGAAGAGTCTGTCCGTTCTATTCCTGAGAGGGGGAACCTTTGGAAGAGCAGGACAGAGGCCAGGGGGCACTGGGACCTAGGAGGAGGGAGTCAAATGTGTGTCTGATTTTGCTCAGAGCCTTGGCTTCAGGGAAAGATGCTAAGATAGTGATGCCCACCGCGCCCCCTCCCATGGTGGAAGGAGCCTGAGTCTCAGGGTGGCTCTGCTCTAAGGAGGGAGGGTCAGGTGGTTACAAAACGGAAGGGTCTAAATCTGTGGCCTTCATCCTTGTTCATAAGACAAGGGATGGGGGATGCCGAACTGAGAAGCAGCAGGCAGGGGGCAGGCTCTGGGTGGATTGCTGAGCTAAACTAGAAGGGACGAGGGCCCACCGGTCCTCAGGGAATGCTCAGAAAAGGCTTCCTCAGAAATTTGCCAATGTAGCTCTACACTGCATTTGGCATTTGGTATTGCAACTGAGAATTTAAAAAAAAATTTTTTTAAAGATTTTATTTATTTGACAGAGAGACTGAGATCACAAGTAGGCAGAGAGGCAGGCAGAGAAAGGGGGAAGCAGGCTCCCCGCTGAGCACAGAGCCCAACTCGGGGCTCGATCCCAGGACCCTGGGATCATGACCTGAGCCAAAGGTAGAGGCTTAACCCACTGAGCCACCCAGGTGCCTGCAACTGAGAATTTTGATGGAAGTCTGATTCTCTTTCCTTTACAGGCAAACTGTATTTTGTATCTATTTTGGAAAATGCTTATTTTATCCTTAGAAATCAAATATATGTTTTTCAATTTGTTTCCACTTTTTCAATAATCCTGCCAAACATTTGTGAGGCATTCTGAGTCAGAATTCACAGAATCCTTAAACGTGGGGAAATTTTCTTTTGGGATTTATTTTGTTTTCACTTATCCTCCATCTGCTTGCTGGTTTCCTAGCACTCCTATTCATGAATATGGGGTCTCTTTGGTCTCTCCCTTCTGTCTCATCTCTTCTTTTAGAAATTCCTTTCCTTGGTCTTTTTTGCTTTGCACCCTGGAAGAATTATTTACCCTTCTAAATCATTATTTCCATTTTGGGGAATGTTTTTCCTGTTAGTGCTTCTAAGATTAAAAATTTTTCCCAATTATTTTTTTTTCTTATTTCCAAGAAGTCTTTCTTATTTTTGTAAATAGCCCTTTCTTGTGACAAGATTGATTTATTACTGCACTATCTCTGAAATGATCAAGAAGCCACATGTTTAAATACTGTTGAACTGTCTTCTGCTTTCTGCAATAATTCTGTCGTCTTGGGGTCGTCTGCCGACTACTCAGTGTGGCATCGTATTTTCAAGTGACTGATCCTGCTCCTATTCCTGCTCTGTGTCTCCGTTTTCACCTACGATGCCGCAGCCCAGTTTTGTTGGAGATACAGGCTCTGCTGGTATCCATGTTGGTCTGACTGCAGGAGGCTAAAGCTTAGTTACAGGGAGGCTTTTGGGGTGATTTTATTTCTTGGGAACTAAAGGGGATCCTCCTGAGCTTTGGAAGCCTGTGGGGATTATTCTCATTCCAAAACACCCCAGGGAATTTCCTGGGTACCTGAGCTTCCCCTGCAGGAGAACCGAGGGCAAATGTGTCCCTCTCATTTGTATCAACTCGGCTGACACCTGTGGCACCAGTACTGTGGATGCCTCCCATCTCTGGTTTTCATAGTGAGAGAGTATTCTCTTTCCCCAGTAGCTGAGATTGCTGGGTGTGGAGACAGGAAAAGGATGAAGATGGAAACAACGTGTGTCTAGGATGCACTCTTGCTCACAAGTGGCTGCCCAGTAACAACAAGGGTCGGAAGGGACTGAGGCATACCACCCTCAGTGTGGTATATTATTATATAATCCACTTTATGCAGGCACAGTTTAGAAAGAGGAAATCCGTTTCCCTGACTAGGTCAGAATAATTTCCTACCCAAAGTCCATCAATGCCTGCACGTTGTTCTGCAGGGGAAAGACACTAGAAAGTAAAATCTCCTAGCATTTGGAGCTCCAAGGAGATGTCACAGGATGGTGCTCATGAACAAAGAAAAGATTTAAAATCCCAGGGAACGAACGTCATCTAAATGGCCATATTTCATGGAAGCATGTGTGGGCTCTATTCAAACCCGTGCGTTCTAGCTAACGACCTGATGCTCCCCGCCTTCACGACTTACGATAAAGCTACAAGAACAAGGCGGCATGATCCTGCTGAAAGAACAGACCAACGGCACAGAACCAAGGACCTAGAAGCAGACTCACAAGCACAGCCAACTGAAAAAGGACCAAGGACAACTCAATGGAGAAAAGGTCCTCTTTTCAATAAACAGTACCAGAACTGGACACTGGCATGCAAAAAAAAAAAAAAAAAAAAAGTGAATCTCAACACAGATGTTGCATCTTTCACAAAAATTGACTCAAATGGATAATGTACCTAATAATAAAACTTGAAGCTATAAAACATCTGGAAGATAACACAGGAGAAATCTATGTGACCGTAGGTTTGGCAGTGAACTTTTAGATTCAACAGCAAAAGCTTGATCCATGAGAAAGAAATAAACAAAAAACTGGTAAGCTGGACTTCACCAAATGTTAAGCTTTTTGCTCTGCAACACACATGGTTAAAAGGATGAAAAGACAAGCTGCAAACTAGCAGAAAGTATCTGCAAAACACCTATCTAATGAAGGACTTTTATCCAAAACACACACACACACACACACACACACACACACACACAAAAATGAACTCTGAAAACCGAGCAGTAAGAAAACAATCCAGATGAGAATATGAAAAGATGCTCCTCCTCATGTGTCACCAGGAAACTGAAAGTTAAAATTCACCATGAGATACGACCACACACCCTTTGGATGACTGAAATCCAAACACTCACAAGAAAAATGTGTGCAAGGGTGTGGAGCAGCAAGAACTCTCATTGCTGGTCGGAATGCAAAATGGTGCAGTCCCTTTGGGAGACAGTTTGACAGATTCTTACAAAGCTTAACATAGCCTTAAGATATGATCCAGAAATCCTTGGTGTTTACCCAAAAGAGTTGAAAACTTCTGTCCATTCAAAACCTGTATGCTAATATTATAGCAGTTTTATACATAATTGGGAAAAGCTGGAAGCAACTAAGACGTCCTTTAATAGGGGAATGGATAAACAAACTGGGGTACATCCATAAAATGGAATATTATTCAGTGGGAAAAATAAGTTAGTTACCAAGTCATGAAAGGACATGGAAGAAACTTAAATACGTATTGCTAAGTGAATAAAGCCAGTCGGAAATGACCACCTGCTATACGAGTTCAACCGTATGACTCTTTTTGGAAAAGGTAAATCTATAGAGAGAGTAAAAAACAAACAAACCAGTCGCTCTCAGAAGTTTGAGGGAAGTGGGAGTGATGAATACATGAAACCCAGGGGATTTTTATGGTAGTGAAACTATTCTGTATGATACTGGAATGGCAGATGCCTAATATTAGGCATTTGTCAAAACCACACAGACACACATACACACACACACAACAGTGTGGATCGCAATGTAAAATGCAGCTGTTAGTAATGATACATCCATATTGGTTCATTAATGGTAACAAATGCAACACACTAATGCACTAATGCAAGACATTAATAATCAGGGAACAGTAAGCAGAGAAGAAAGGATATGTGTAAACTCTCTGAACTTTGTTACATTTTTTATAGACCTAAACTGTGAAAAATAGTCTATTAATTAATATAAAACAAAAATGTACCTTCCTCCTCATTCCCTACCCTTCAAATTCTTCCAAGTGAAAACTGATTCAAATGAAATACTGAAGGAGCAAGAAAGAACACAGAAGTCTCTCTGGATGTATTGGCTGTCTCTTCAGTAATGGCTGCACTCCCAGCACGGCTAAGTATTTGTGTGATTTGTCTTGCCTCTTCATTTGGACGGTGTGTTCTTTAAGGTATTTCATTAGGTATCTTGCATGTACTAGATTCTTGATAGC